GGCTGGAGTGCAGTGGCGAGATCCCAGCTCACTGAAAGCTCCGCTTTCCTGGTTCAAGCCGCAGCTTCCAGAGTAGCTGGGACTACACGTGCCTGCCACTACGCCTGGCTAATTTTTGTATTTTTAGTAGAAAACACTATATTGTTCAGACTGATCTTGAACTCCCGACCTCAGGTGATCCACCCGCCTCAGCCTCCCAAAGTGCTGGGATTACAGGTGTGAACCGTGCCCTCCTGGATGCACCACATTTTATAGTCAGATTTGAGGAAGTGGTGTATTGATTTACACAGGGCCCACAGTTTGGTTCCATCAGGTATGATTTTTACTTAGGATGCCGGGAAGGCTGGGTTGCCCAAACTCAATCTTATTATGCAAACGGACTTTCCAGTTGATCTGCACCATCTTGTTTGCTTCTTACTGTACCGTGGCTGGCAGAAAAGGAGAAGATGGAACCGCCATCTTGAACACGTCTAGTCCCTAGTTCCTGCCAGCATTCATCTGTGCAAGCTCCTGGCTTGCTTGTCTATGTCTGTGGCTGGACTTCACAGGCTGCTCTTTGTTAGAAAATGATTTGGGGCTGCTTTTCATTAAAAAGAAAAGCCTTACTGCTTGAACCCGGCAGGCAGAGGTTGCAGTGAGCAGAGATTGTGCCACTGCACTCCAGCATGGGCAGTGGAGTGAGAGTCTCAAAAGAAAAAAAAAGCCTTACTGTGGACTCCCATTCCCTTACTATCTGCCCAAGTAATTTGTTCTTAACTCCTGTATCAACTGTACTTCAGCCTGGGCAGCAGAGTGAGATGCTGTATCTAAAAATAAGTATATGGGAATAGAAGGAGTTTCTTCATTGCAGTGGCATTAAATTCTTTGAACTCTTTCTGAGTTATATGCCCAAAGATCACAGTGATCTAATGTCAAAAAAACACCTTTGAGACAAGGCCTCACTTTGTCTCCCAGGTGTAGTGCAGTGGCACAATCTTGGCTCACTGCAACCTCCCAAGTTCAAGCAATTTTCAGCCTCCCGAGTAGCTGGGACAACAGGTGTGCATCACCACACCCAGATAATTTTTGTATGTTTAGAAGAGGCGTGGTTTCACCATGTTGGCCAGGCTGGTCTTGAACTCCTGACCTCAAGTTATCCACCCACCTTGGTCTCCCAAAGTGCCAGGATTACAGGCATGAGCCACCCTGCCCAGCCAAATTGATTAGTTTCTAAATAAGACTTTATTTCAGAAATAATTCATTTTGGAGAAAACTGGAACACTTGTTTTAAAATCAAATGTAAAATCAGGCATAGTGGTTTATGCTTGTAATCCCAGCACTTTGGGAGGCTGGGGCTGGAGGATTGCCTGAGTCCAGGAGTTCAAGACCAGCCTGGGCATCATGATGAACCCCTGTCTCTCAAAAAAAAAAAAAAATTAGTCAAGTATAGTGGCTCACTCACACCTGAAATCCAAGTTACTCTGGAGGCTGAGGTATGAGGATCACTTGAGCCTAGGAAGTCGAGACTCTAGTGAACCATAATTGTGTCACTACATTCCAGTCTGGGTCACGAAGCAAGACCCTAACTCAAAAACAAACAAACAAAAAAATCAAACGTATGGAGGTATAAATTACACACAGTAAAATGTTCACATCTAGCTTATGATTCAATGAGTTTTGACACCTGTGTAGCCACTGCAATCAACATTTCCATCACCACAGAATGTTCCTACTGGTGCCTTTGCAGTCAAACCCTTCTCACCCCTATCCCGAATGCCATGTAACCACCGATCTGCTTTCTCCTGCTATAGTTAAGTTTTGCCTCTTCCAAAACTTTATATAAATATACCATTTTTTTTGGCATATCTTTTCACTCAGTATGTTTCTGAGATTCATCCATGTTGTTCTGGGTATATACCTAGAGGGGAAATTGCTGGATCACATGGTAATTTTCATTTTTTCTTTTTTTTTTTTTAAGTTAGAGTCTCACTCTGTCACCCAGGCTGGAGTGCAGTGGTGTCATCTCGGCTCACTGCAACCTCTGCCTCCCGAGTTCAAGCAATTCACCTGCCTCAGCCTCCTGAGTAGCTGGGATTACAGGCGTGTGCCACCACACACAGCTAATTTTTATATTTTTAGTAGAGATGGGGGCTTCACCATGTTAGTCATGCTGGACTCAAACTCCTGACCTCATGATCCACCCACCTCAGCCTCCCAAAGTGCTGGGATTACAGGTGTCAGCCATTGCACCCAGCCGGTAATTTTAATTTTTTGAGGAATCCTAGGAAATCACTTTTAGGAAGATGCAGATCTAGAAAAAAATTCACTAAAGTTTCTGTGCCCAAGTATTCCTTGTAAAGTCTTTACATACCCCAGGTATGTAAAAACTCTTGGGCCGGGTATGGTGGTTCACACCTGTAATCCCAGCACTTTGTGAGTCCAAGGTGGGTGGATCTCCTGAGTTCAGGAATTCAAGACTAGCCTGGCCAACATGGCGAAACCCTATCTCTACTAAAAATACAAAAATTAGCCAGGCATAGTGGCACCCGCCTATAATCCCAGCTACTCGGCAGGTTGAGGCAGAAGAATCACTTGGAGGCATGAGAATCGCTTTAACACAGGAGGCAGAGGCTGCAGTGAGCTGATATCTTGCCATTGCACTCCAGCCTGGGCAACAAAGCGAAACTTCATCTCAAACAAAAAAAAAGAAAGAAAGAAAGAAAGAAAAGCTCCTGTTCCCCAGCCTGGGCAATGTGGTGAAACCCCAGCTCTACAAAAAATTGAAAAATGAGCTGGGTGTGAAGGCAGCTATTCGGGTGGGAGGATCACTTGAGCTTGGGAGGTGGAGGTTGCAGTGAGCCAGGATTGTACCCCTGCCCTCCAGCCTGGGCAACAGAGCAAGACACTGTCTCAAAAAAAAAAAAAAAAAAAAAAAGGCTGGGCATGGTGGCAAACACCTGTAATCCCAGCATTTTGGGATGCTAAAGTTGGCAGATCACTTGATGTCAGAAGTTCAAGATCAGCCTGGTCAACACAGTAAAACTCTATTCCTACAAAAATTAGCCAGGCATGGTGGCACACGCCTGTAATCCCAACTACTTAGAGGCTTAGGCAGGAGTGGTTTGAACCCTGGAGTCGGAGGTTGCAGTGAGCTAAGATCGCACCACTGCACTGCAGCCTGAGCAACAGAGCAGGACTCTGTCTCAAAAAAAATAAAAAAAAAAAGAAGAAAAAGAAAAAAATCTCCTGTTCCAATGAGATACCTCAGAACATAAAGGAAGTAATGTGGTTGGAAAAGCATAAATTTGGAATCAGACAGTGCTGGTTAGAATCCAGTATTTATTTAGTTTAGAACCTGAAGGCTGCCAAGTTTGGTGATTCACGCCTGTAATCCCAGCACTTTGGGAGGCCGAGGTGGGTGGATCACTGAGGTCAGGAGTTTGACATCAGCCTGGCCAACATGGTGAAAACCCATCTCTACTAAAAATACAAAAATTATCTGGGCGTGGTGGTGGGTGCCTGTAATCGCAGTGACGTGGGAGGCTGAGGCAGAATTGCTTGAACCCGGGAGGTGGAGGTTGCAGTGAGCTCAGACCTCGCCATTGCACTCCAGCCTGGGCAACAAGAGCAAAACTCCATCTCAAAAACAAAACAAAATGTGAAGGCTAGTCTTTGCCTTCTCTAAAGTTCCCTCTCTAAAATGAGGCTAGCGGCCAGGCACAGTGGCTCATGTCTGTAATCTCAGCACTTTGGGAGGCCAAGGCAGGCAGATCACCTGAGGTTGGGAGATCGAGACCAGCCTGACCAACATGAAGAAACCCTGTCTCTACTAAAAATACAGAAGATTAGCTGGGCATGGTGGTGCATGCCTGTAGTCCCAGCTACTCAGGAGGCTGAGGCAGGAGAATCGCTTGAACCCAAGAGGCAGAGGTTGTGGTGAGCCGGGATTGCACCATTGCACTCCAGCCTGGGCAACAAGAGTGAAATTCTGTCTCAAAAAATTTTAAGATAAAATAAAATGAGGCTACTAATACCTATTCCACAGGACCATAATGGTGTTTAGAGAATGGATGAAGAGAACCTACCACAGACCTTGGCAAGTCACTCAAAAGTTTTAGGACCTTGGTACACAGGATACAGGACTAGCTTCTGCCCTAGAGGAGAATGGCCACTTGATGACAGCCCCAGATGTGCAACTGGGTTACTTCAATACAAAATGGTCCAGGGCTATGATAGGTGAATTGGGGAAAGGACATTTTATCCTCATGAGAAAGATCAGGGAAGACTCTCTGGAAGAGGTGGCTCAAAATGGGTGTGAAGGAAGAACAGAAAGAGAACATATTTGAGGCTGAGGAAACAAGATGAACAAAGATAGAAAAGCATAAAACAGCATGTTGTCAGGAAAACTCAAAGAATTTGGTGTTACAACACATAATGTAATGACAAGAATGGGAATAAATGAGGTTGACGAAGGCCGCTTCTTAAAGGCCATGGAAAGATCTTGACTTTATCCTGTGTCTTGGCTTCCTCATGTTTCAAATTCTTCCTCTGTACTCTGAGATTACAGTAGTACCTTTCTCACAGGACTGTAAGGAAGAGTACCAAAGCACAACTAAATGGGATAACACATACAAAGCACTTAGAAGAGCACTTAGCAAAGACTGAGTTTCCAGTATTTCCTACCATTAATACGATTAGGAGGTGGCAGGAAAGGTTTTTTAAATTTTATTTTAGACACGAGTTTTGCTCTTGTTGCCCAGGCTGGAGTGCAATGGAGTGATTTTAGCTCACTGCAACCTCCACCTCCTGGGTTCAAGCAATTCTCCTGCCTCAGCCTCCTCAGTTGCTGGGATTACAGGCATGCACCACCATGCCTGGCTAATGTTGTGTTTTTAGTAGAGAAAGGGTTTCTCCATGTTGGTCAGGCTGGTCTCAAACTCCCAACCTCAGCTCCTCCAGGACCTTAGGTGGTCTCCATCCCTCCCTCCATTCTCCAATAACAAAAAGGCCATCACAGCACATTTCCTTTTAAAGTTTTATTAAAGTTTTATGGAACAATAATTTATCTCTTTTTTTGTTAATGCCAGTACAAAAATACAGTTGATGACTTGACAAAATGGCTATACCTACAGCTTGAAGGTTTGAGTTTCTCCAACAGTAACGAGGGAAAGCATGCTTCCACCCAGAGCCTAGTTAAAGCACACAACCAGTCCTGCACACGCATGCGTGCAAACAGGGAAACCCAAGCATGAGAAGAGGAAAGGGGTTGTAGAAATTTGGGAAGAAGCCCCCAATTATTCCCAGGAGAAAAAAGGGAAAAAAACAGGCTAATATCCTTGGTAGGAGCAGAGTTACTGATATTGTTGTTGTTTTTTTAATGATAAGCTATTTCTGCAATTTTAACGTTGTAGAAAAGATGCTACTAGTCTCCTTTCACCACTAAGGTGAGTAAAGTGGGAGGAAATGGGAAAAGACTCAAATACTAAAGTGCAAAGAGTAAACCTCCAAGTGGCTTAAGTTTTGTGTCAGAAGATTTTATTCTTTATATTCAATGACAAATTGACGTTTACGTGAGAGAGAGAAGGAGAAGAAAGTCTGCCACTCTGCTGGATCTACAAACATGCAGACCAGCTTCTGTTAGCAGATCTCTTCCACAGTGAGAGAGCTCCTTCCAGTGTAGGTAGGAATGAGGTTTCCTGGTCAGCTTAATTGTTCTGGATGATTCCTCAATATTCCCTCCCTTGCTGCTTTCCTTACAGAACATTAACTCTAATGAAAGAAGGGGTACATTCATGTTACAACTCGTCTTCAAGATGTTTTTCTCTGAAGGCATCACCCGTCAGCCTTTCCTGAGCTTCCTTCATCCCCTGAACAACTGTGAAATAAAGATTGGAGGAAAACAGTAGAAAGTAAGTCATATTTGACATTTGACAACCAATGTACATTTTTAAATGTTTCAGAAGAAATATGAGAGGTGTACAAGATCGGGACTCAAGATCTAGCTCTGGATTTTGGCCCAGGCAAGTCATTTATCTCTTTTTCTTTTTTCTTGCTTTGTTGCCCAGGCTGGAGTGCAGTGGTACAATCTCGACTCACTGCAGCCCCCGCCTCCCGGGTTCAAGTGATTCTCCTGCCTCAGCCTCCTGAGTAGCCAGGACTACAGGCACACAGCACCACACCTGGCTAATTTTTTGTATTTTTAGTAGAGATAGGGTTTCACTGTGTTAGCCAGGATGGTCTTGACCTCCTGACCTCATGATCTGCTTGCCTCAGCCTCCCAAAGTGCTGGAATTGCGCCCAGCTGTCCTTTATCTCTTTGAATTTGTTTCCTCATTTATAAAATGAAATAATGTTACTCACTTCACACAGGATTAGAAAAATTAAATGGGAGATTCCATAGAAACTGGGTTAAAAAAAATTAAATGGGAGAACGGATAATAAAAGTGTTTTATCAACTATGAAGTCCTACAAAAATCTTAGCAGGGATTTTGGCTTACCCTCTAGGATTAGAGCTGATCCCCTGTCCTAGACTGTAGATGTTCACTTGACCCCAAGGGAAGAGGAAACACTTTCTTACCGTCCCCACCATATCTCTTGGATGAATGTTGCACTTATTTTACTTCCTGTGGAGGTTACAGATTACACTGAGGAGTGTGTGTGCTGGGGCGGGGGTGTCTCTACTGAAGGGGGTCATCATTTCCAGTATCAACTATACGTGGATGAAAACAAGTTCTCAGGCCAAAAAAAAAAAGAGAGAGAGAGGGAGAGAGAGGGAGAGAGAAACCTAGAAGGAAGGCTTTAAGTAGGCTCAAGATGAAACTTCTTGTCTATCTTGGGTCATCCTGCTTACAGATTTAGAATCAAGGAGGACAGCTATTTCAGTATAGGCTCCTCAGTGGTAGTTCTACAATAGCACCCCTATATAATGGCAGGCCAGGAGTTGGGTTGAGCCAGAGTCTATGAATCCTGCAAAGCCAACCCATAAGCTCATAAGAGCCAGATAATATAGTTTATTTCTCTTTTGTTTTGCCTATGCCTTTAGTAAAGCCAGGTTTGAATGTTCCAGTTTCATGCCGGCTGAGAGATGGGGGATTTAGGGAAGGGTCTTGTGCTCACATCTGAACTATGTCATTGTGAAGACATCAGTGGTAACTTGGATGAATTTCTAAAGGGAATGTGAATCTCAAGATACAAGAATTAGGGACCTTAAAGCCCAGCCGCCCTTCACCACATAGAAAATTTTCCTTTGGGCTGGGCGCGGTGGCTCACACCTATAATCCCATCACTTCGGGAGGCCGAGGCGGGTGGATCACAAGGTCAAGAGATCAAGACCATCCTGGTCAAAAAGGTGAAACCCCGTCTCTACTAAAAATACAAAAATTAGCTGGGCATGGTGGTACACGCCTGTAGTCCCAGCTACTCGGGAGGCTGAGGCAGGAGAATTGCTTGAACCCAGAAGGCGGAGGTTGCGGTAAGCTGAGATCGTGCCACTGCACTGCAGTCTGGGAAACAACAGTGAAACTCAGTCTCAAAAAAAAAAAAAAAAAAAAAGAAAATTTTCCTTTGATATCAATCTCTAGTGATCTGCATTTGGTTAAGAAACATGATATTCTCCTTAGCCAGGAGAAGGTAATAGCATCTACAGATCTCTTCCCCAACCCTAATCTGAGAATAAGAGTTCCAAGGACTCAAATCACAGTGATCAACAACCTGGCAGCATGGCAATAGGGATGCATGGCAACTTAGCACACAACTCCCTTTCATAGATGAGGGGAAAAGAAAGAAAAACAGCAAGAATACATGGCATGAATTCCAACCTCTGCCTCCAGAATGACTGTGCTCAAAGATTAGAGAACAAAACAGTGTGACTGGCTAATGATTCCAAACTTCCTTCACTTGTTTGCTGGTGTTCTTCTCTCCTGGAATATGCTTCTCCCATTCTGCTACAGACAAGGTCTCATTCTCTAAGACTTAATTCAGTCATTTAGCAAACCTTACAAACTCTATGCTGGGCTACATCTCCCCTCCACTTTACTTCCATAGCTTGAAATGTCCTCCTCATATCTGTCCAGAGATAAAATTTTTATCCTTCTAGGTCCATTTAAATTTTTTTTGAGATGGAGTCTCGCTCTGTCACCCAGGCTGGAATGCAATGGCACGATTTTGGCTCACTGCAACCTCTGCCTCCCAGGCTCAAGCAATTCTCCTACCTCAGCCTCCCAAGTAGCTTGGATTACAGGCACCCACCATCACGCTCAGCTATTTTTTGCATTTTTAGTAGAGACAGGGTTTTGCCATGTTGGCCAGGCCAGTCTTGAACTCCTGACCTCAAGTAATCCACCCACCTCGGCCTCCCAAAGTGCTGAGATTACAGACGCAAGCCACTGCACCCAACCTATTTAAATTTAATATCTATGAAACCTCAGACTTGTTCACCTAACACTATTCCTCTTCTTCTGAATTTTCATAGGAAGAATGGTATTAGTAGGAAAAAACTAAGTTCTGGACTCAAATCCTGGCTCTGCTACTTATTAAGTATGAAACTATGGGCAAGTGACTATCTCAGTCATTTGTGTGCCTCAGTTCTTCACAGCTGCCTGTGGGTCAGTCAGCTCTCCCAAGGCAAAGGGTTCAGTCTCATCTTTCTCCTATATCTTACACAGGATCTAGCCAAAAGCTAGACATGCAGGAGACACTCAGCTAACATGCTGAATTTACTTTCCTATCACAGACCTTGCATGTGGTTCATCCTAGTTAAATCTAGCAGTAATCCTCCCTCCCTTCAGCATAACTATACCTTGCTCAGCACTGACGTAGAAATACTTGTAGCTGGGGTTTCCATTCTCATTGATGATTTCAGGATGCACCTTGCCACTGGGATCTGTTATAGACAAAATGGCACAAGGTTTTGCAGCAATTACAATAGACAGGTACTTCAAACACTATGCCCTGTGGAAGGGCGTACACTACGCCCTGTGGAAAGTAAGATCTGCCCATATTTGCAGTCCATTACCTCACCATAATGCCTCCTACATTTGTGGTTCCTTTTCTACTTGATGATTTTTATTTATATCCCCCATAAAATCTAGCAGAATTTATGCTGAGCAAAGATTAGGTGGTTATTACACAGCTCTTATAAAGTTGTTTGTGGAAAGATATTTGTCTGGTTATATTATTCTATTGCCTTAGCTGCACTATAGGGTCAAGGGTGGGAATTCTGGCTTATCTCTGTCTCTGTAGTGCCTAATACAGGACTCAACATATGCTGGTGCTCAAATGGCTACTGAGTGAATAGATGGATGATCAAACTTTTTTTTCTTTTGAGATAGGGTCATTGAGGCTCCTTCTGTCATTCAGGCTCAAGGGCAGTGGCACGACTATGGCTCACTAGAGCTTTGACCTCCCAGGCTCGATCTATCTTCCCGCCTCGGCCTCCTGAATAGCTGGGACTACAGGTCCCAGCTATTAGCATGCCAACACACCTGGCTAATTTTTGTATTTTTTGTAGAGACGAGCTTTCACCATGTTGCCCAGGCTGGTCTTAAATTGGACTCAAGCAATTAGCCTACCTTGGCCTCCCAAAGTGCTGAGATGAAAGGCGTGAGCCACTGCATACGGTCAAACTCTTGTCATTGCTCACAAAAGCAGTTAGTTAATGGGAAAAGTTTTCCTTCACACTTGTAGTTCCAGCATTCAGAACTCCCCTACTCTCTCCTGAAACTGGTTTTTTGTTTGTTTGTGGTCATCCTGGTATAGTTTCACTAGGTGGAGTCAGTGCCTTGATTCATTTCTCTCTCCATCCACATCATGGATTCCCAGATTAAGATCATGTGCCTTACCCAGGAAAAGGATACGTGGAATATAACCTCCATCAGGGCTGAAATCTTCATCTTTGGGTTCCTCTTCATCCTATTAGGATTAAATGTAAACCTTAAGTAAGATGATGTCCTCTCTCTCCTCAAAACCATTCAGTGGCTTCCTCACTTGTCAGGGCAAAACCGCAAGTCCTTGCAGTGGCCTATAAGGCCCTACACGATCTGTCACCTAGGCACTTCTCTAACTTCACGTCCTGCTCCTTGTTAAGTCCTCTTCAGCCACACTGACCTCCTGCTGTTGCTGTCTTTAAAAAAGCCAGGCATAATCCTAACTCAGGCTTTTGGATTTGCTCTTACTCTCTGCCTGGACACACTTCCCCCATTATCATCCACATGGTTCACTCCCTTTTCTGTTTCAGACCTTTGCTCAAATGTCCCTTTATTTTTGGACCATCTATTTAAAACTGTAGTCATCCCTTCCATCTTTCTTTTTTAGCCATAGCATTTACTACCATCTGACGTATTCTAAAGTACTTATTTGTCTTCCCATATTAGAATGTTATTTCAATGAGGAAATTTTGTCTGTTTTGTTCACTGCTATATTCCTGGTACCTACATCATTGACTTAGACACAGTATTTCTTTAGTGCATGAATAATAAGACTGGCATTTTAGTTATAGTTGTGGACTCATAGTTCTCCCAGGAGATTAAAAACCCACACAATCAGTTTTCTTTTTAAGAAATTTCCAAAGTTGGAGAATCCTCTCTGAAGACGTTATTACTGTCTCCTTAGAGTAAGAATCCTGGCCAAGTGCAGTGGCTCATGCCTGTAATCCCAGCACTTGGGAGGCCAAGGCAGGCAATCACAAGGTCAGGAGTTTGAGACCAGCCTGGCCAATATGGTGAAACCCCATCTCTACTAAAAATACAAAAAAATTAGCTGGGCATGGTGGTGGGCACCTATAGTCCCAGCTACTCAGAAGTCTGAGGCAGAAGAATTGCTTGCACCCAGGAGGCAGAGGTTGCAGTGAGCCAAGATCGCACCACTGCACTCCACCTTGGGCAACAGAGCAAGACTCTGTTTCAAAAAAAAAAAAAAAAAAAAGACTAAGAATCCCAATTCACCACAGAAAGTGGTGAGGAATTCATGTGCAAAGGTAATCAACAGTTTTACAATTTATGATGTGGTTCCCATTTCAGGGTTAACGGGGGTCATTTCTTTGAATGTAACTTCAATATGGTGAGGTGAATCAGCATTCAGTCTATCCACTAGCTATATAAGCAATCCCTTAGCTGCCTTACTGTTAATTGTTAATGTGTTCACAAGATTCTCTGACTTATGTTTAAGTAAACATCATCTTATTTTTTTTGAGACAGAGTCTTGCTCTGTTACCAGGCTGGAGTGCAGTGGCAAGATCTCAGCTCATTGCAACCTCTGCCTCCTGGATTCAAGTGATTCTCCTGCCTCAGCCTCTCAGGAGGCTGGGACTACAGGTGAGCACCATCATGCTCAGCTAATTTTTATATTTTTAGTAGAGATGGGATTTCACCATGTTGGCCAGAATGGTCTCAATCTCTTGACTCGTGATCTGCCCACCTCAGCCTCCCACAGAGCTGAGATTACAGGCATGAGCCACCGTGGCCCAAGTAAATATTATCTTTACAGAAACTTATAGCTAGCAGTATCATCAAGAGCATCTGAGTACCCCATATGTGAAAGTATGGCCTAAAAGAGAGCACGGCTAGGTCAGAGTACCTATTCTTATCACTTACGAGGCTCAATGATTTTGACCAAATCACATATCTGCTTCAGGCCTAAGATGTTTTTCCAGTAAAATGAGGACAGTACCAAGAGCCTAAAAATCTCTTCCAACTCTAAGATCTGACATTCCATGACTCAGGATTCCAAGGCCTGTAACCTATATGAGGTACATAAAAGCTATTTTCATAAGGGAATAAGCAGGTTGCACATATAAGCCCAGCACAGATTAGGGGCTCAATTGAATTGAGATAAACCAAACTAACTTCATCTTAGATATAGGCCTGACTGACTTCATCTTAGCTTCTCCCCGTGCCTCGTTTCCCCCAGGTGCACAACTAGGTCATGCTGTACCCAGAATCTTTCAACCACTGTAATCACATCCTGCTTGGCAAGTCCCTTGCTCATTGTGATCAACCCCCTCAGTAACCAACAATCATGAGAACTTCCACCTCCCCTGGTTACCAGTTTCCTCCCCTAACTTGCTTATTCTGCTTCTGTAAAATTCTGCTTTGCCCCCTTACCCTGAGCAACATATAAAAGGAAATCACACCTCTTCCTTGGGACTGAGAGATTTGAGTGTGAGCTGACTCTCGGTCGCCAACAATAAAGGACTCATGATTTGAACTCAGAGTGTGGCACTTTCCATTCAACTCCCTTGGTTATAATAGAATCACATTTTGCAGAAAGTTGTCGTCTGCATGTATGACTATACCTTTAGCCTAGCTTTACAAAGATGTAAAACAAGTCATAATCATAAAGATAAAAGGACCTTAACATTTAGTCATCTTAAGGCCAGGCGTGCTGGCTCATGCCTGTAATCCTGCACTTTGGGAGGCCGAGGCAGGTGGATCACTTAAGGTCAGGAGCTTGAGACCAACCTGGCCAACATGGTAAAATCCCATCTCTACTAAAAATACACAAACTGGCCAGGCACAGTGGCTCACACATATAATCCCAGCACTTTGGGAGGCTGAAGTAGGTGGATCACCTGAGGTCAGGAGTTCGAGACCAGCCTGGACAACATGGCAAAACCCCATCTCTGCTAAAAATACAAAAGTTAGCCTGGTATGGTGGCACATGCCTGTACTCCCAGCTACTCGGGGAGGCTGAGGCAGGAGAATCACTTTAACCCCAGAGGCGGAGGTTGCAGTGAGCTGAGACTACACCACTGCTTTCCAGCCTGGGCAACAGTGAGACTGTCTCAAAAAAATAATTTAAAAAATTTTAATAAATAAAAATACAAAAATTGTATTTTTGGCACCTCCCTGCAATCCTAGCCACTTGGGAGGCTGAGGCAGGAGAACTGATTTAACCCGAATGGAGGAGATTGTGGGCCAGGATTGCACCACTGCACTCCAGCCTGGGTGACAGAGCAAGACTCTGTGTCAAAAAAAAAAAAGTTACAGTCATCTTCTTCAATCTTTCCTCTCCTAGTTCCTCCCAGAAATAGATGTTAGATGGCTTTCTTTTTTTTTTTTTTTGAGATGGAGTCTCGCTGTGTTGCCAGGCTGGAGTACAGTGGTGTGATCTTAGCTCACTGCAACTTCCGCCTCCCAGGTTCAAGTAATTTCACTCCCAGTTAACTTTTGCATTTTTTAGTAGAGATGGGGTTTCACTATGTTGGCCAGGATGGTCTTGATCTCTTGATTTGCCCGCCTCAGCCTCCCAAAGTGCTGGGATTACAGGCGTGAGTCACCGCACCCAGCCTAGATGGCTTTCTAACACATCTGATGCAAGCCTTAGTATTACAGGTCAAGAGAAAAACATATACATAAATTTGATTTTATACCATTAATGAAGCTATAATGAATATGCACAAATGATGCTAATTTTAAAAGTCTTAAAATCATAGCAGAAAGAAGAAATTCTCAAAATCTTACCTCAAGATTTACCATAACAAAATTATGGGAGAGTTCTGAAATTTCTGTAGATTCTGCAAATTTGGGCTTTAGCGCTGCGGGGGAAATATTTTGGAAAAGAAGAAAAAACATCATTGTCATATTCAAACCTTAAAAAGTATAAGCATCACTATTTCTCTTTGGTAGTTTAGGCGTTTCTTGAATTATACATGTAACAAACTTTTTTTTTTTTTACACTCTAAAAATAAAGAATTAGGCTACCTGGATTCTGAACCTGCATAGCTATGTCACCTTGAGTGACTTGCTTCTCTGAAGCTGTTACCTCATTTATAAAACAAGGATAATGGCATATGAATAGGGGGAAAAGCATTATTTGCTTTTTATAGTTACATTTCAAAAACTATTGAAGTGAAAGACAATAGAGTGACAGTCTGCCACATGTGTATACATATGTGTGTATATATGTTGTATATATGCATACATTCCAATTATTATTATCATTTTTGATAGAGAGTCTCAATCTGTCACCCAGACTGGAGTGCAGTGGCATGATCTCAGCTCACTGCAACCTCCGCCTCTCAGGCTCAAGTGATTCTCAACCTCCTAACTAGCTGAGATTATAGGGACATATCACCACACCGGCTAATTTTTTTGTATTTTTAGTAGAGGTGGGGTTTCACTATGTTGGCCAGGCTGGTCAACTTCTGGCTTCAAGTAATCAGCCCACCTCAGCCTCCCAAAGTACTGGGATTACAGGCGTAAGCCACTGCACTCAGTCAATGTCATATATTTCTTTAGTATTCCTTAAATAGTGAGTAGTACTGGGCCAGAGTCAGTGCCAATATTTGCTAAATGTTAATATTTGACAACACATCTAAGTTTTGAATTTAGATTGAGTACCTACACTTACCTTTGCAAGCTCCACACCATGATTTATGAATAATCACCATCAGGGGCAGTCCACTTAAAAACAAAACAAAGAAATTATAATCTAGTAATTCCGCTTCTTGAAATCTAATAAAATGTGTTAAAGATTCATATCCAAGTCACAGCACCAAAAAAAATGTGATAAAGATTAATATATAAATATATTTCTGTAGTATTATTTCAATTGGGAAAATTGTTAGACAATTTAAATATTCAATAATAATAGATAATTGCTGTAACAAAATTATTGATAAATTCTAACATTTCTGTAAATTCTGCAAATTTGGGCTTTACAGTTAGGGAGGGCTGGGCACAGTGGCTCATGCCTGTAATCCCAGAACTTTGGGAAGCTGATGTGGGTGGATCACTTGAGGTCAGGGGTTCAAGACCAGCTTGGCCAAAGAAACAAAACCCTGTCTCTGCTAAAAATACAATAATTAGCTGGACTTGGTGGCATGTGTCTGTAGTCCCAGCTATTGGGGTGGCTGAAGCATGAGAATTGCTTGAGCCTGGGAGGCAGAGGTTGCAGAGAGCCAAGATCGCGCCATTACACTCCAGCCTGGGCAACAGAAGATTCTGTCTCAAACAAACAAAATGTTACAGTATTTCTAAATGATTATTGTTATATAATCATTGAAAATAATTTTTCATTGGTAGCTTATATAAAAAACTAGGATACAAACATACCTATAGTCTGATTTTAATGATAAAATATGTACAGAGAAAAGAGCCTAAAAGAAAACGTACCAAAACATAATAGCCGTTTTCTGCGGATGATGGGATTGTGATGTTTTCCTATACTACATTTGTATTTCACGATTTTTCTACAATATAATTTTTATTATCAGGGAGGAAAGTGTTCACAATGAGCAATGCAATCCACCCGAACCAGACTGGTTAGAGGAAGCTCTTAAGCTCTCAAGGCTCAAATGACAATTAGTAGGAAGACCCCATGTAGGTAGGTGGCCATTAGCTTTCTCTATCACACAACCCCATGTCACAATAACAACATACCATATACTTAACATATTGATCTGCATTTATTATTTACCCATCTCCCTCCACCGGACCTGGGGATTCCTAAGACAAGGAACTCTTAGCTGCCTCTATGTCCCTTATATCTGACAAATATATCATTGATAGCAAACACGTATATACCATTTACCCATTTACCATGTGCCAGGCACTACTGTAAATACACATAAATTAACTCATTCATTAAGTGTCAAATGAATTGTTCAGCTACCTCACTTTAGGCCTACCTCACATCTGGATGGACTTTCACCTCCAATACTTGTAAAAGCTTGTAAACCAAATGAGCAGGACAAGTTTAGGTGGCCAGTAGGATACAGGTAACCATAATAGCTAAAATGTGCTTAATGTTTATTATACGTCATTGTGTTCTATATGGATTATCTCATTTAAAAAATCCTCGAAATAACCCTAAGGTAGATACTATTAACATTCTCACAATAGAAATGAGAAAACTGAGATGCTCAATAGAGTAAATATTTGGCCACATAAAATCTAGATTCTAGGCTGGGCTCAGTGGCTCACACCTGTAATCTCAGCACTTTGGGAGGCTGAAGCAGGAAGATCACTTAAGCTCAAAGTTCAAGACCAGCTAGGGCAACATTGTGAAAACCCGTCTCTACAAAAAAATACAAAACTTAGCCAGGCATGGGGTGCACGCCTGTAGTCCCAGCTACTCACACCATTGCACTTCAGCCTGGGAAACAGCCTGACCTTGACTCAAGAAACAAAACAAAACCCAAAACAAAAACCTATGTCCTGCCACTTACTAGCTAACTCAGAAGTCCGACTCCAGAACCAATGCTCTTTCTATTACAGTCTACTTCAATTTAGAATGGCAATCCAGAATCCATGGTTAAACCCTATTCAATCAATAACCAACTGAATGAAGACTGGAAAAGGCCTTTTGAGTTTGCCTCATCCAAACCTCCATTTCACTCATGAATCCTCTTAACAGAAATAAAAGGTGGTATCAATTACCTGATGAACAAGGAATATACCATCAAGGCAGCCCATCTATCTCACCTTTGAGCAGCTCCATAGTTTCTGACCATGCATGTTTTAGAATGTCTTGCTTTCTCTTTTCTCCGTGGCAAACATCTATTTATCCTTCTACAGCAAGGGTTGGCAAACTAGGGTCTGCAGGCCAAATCCAGCCCACCTCCTGCTTCCATAGGCCCCATGATATGCAAATATTTTTTCCACATTTTTCAATGTTTGCAAAGCAAATCTAAAGACTCCTTTGTTATGTTAAAATTAAATGTAATTCACATTTCAGTATCTGTAGTTTTATTAAAATACATTCATGCTCATTTGTTTACTTGCCATCTATAAGTAGCAACAATATCTGATGGTCTACAAAGCATAAAAACATTCACTATTTGGTCCTTTGCTGATATTATTCTACAGTGGTGGTTCAGATGTTAACTCTTCTATAAAGCCTTTCCAAAACCACCTTTCCTAGCAGCTAGTTAGTCCTTTTCACCAGTTTCCAAAGCATTTTGCCATCATCCTCTGACCACCAGGTCATTTCATCCTATCTTTTACTTGTACTTCTCACCACATCTCTTTTTGTTTTTAAAGACACACTTTCACTCTTTCACCCAGGCTGGAGTGCAGTGGTTCGATCTCAGCTCACTGCAACCTCTGCCTCCCAGGTTCCAGGGATTCTCGTGCCTCAGCTTCCAGAATAGCTGGGATTACAGGCACACCACCATGCTTGACTATTTTGTATTTTTAGCAGACGGGGTTTCACTATGTTGGCCAGGCTAATCTCGAATTCCTGACCTCGATTTTGGACTCCCAAAGTGCTGGGATTACAAGCATGAGCCACCACACTTGGCCTCTCACCACATATCTCAAGAGCAAAAATACTGTATCTAATTAGTCTTTGAAAATCACAGGCACTGTTAAAAGTAGGTACCTACCATTTGTTCAACAAAATCAAGGAAGAATGAAAGGCAAGCTTACAATATTTGCCTCAAAATACAGAATGAAGCACAACAGTTAAGGATATTGTTATAATTACTCTACATTACATCAAAATTTATATTCTCAGCCCTATCAAAATACTACTTAAACGCAGACCAATGACAAATGTACCTAAAATATTACATGGAGATACACAGGGAACATTGTTACATTAAGTGAAAGGGATTCCAGTAGATTCCCTATTTTAAAGATTTTATTAGAGGAAATAATCTAGGAGATAACTGTCCTACTTTCACAAAAACAAAGCTTCCCAAGCACAGAAACAAATGGATTTATCTGTGAACTCAGTCCCAGAATAAAGACTAGCAAAAAGTCAGTACAGTACTCAAAAAATACTTTTGTGGCATGAAAAAAGGGCAGGTACAGTTGTAGAACTGTGCCATCTTTGGTTTCTGTTCACAATTGTTTAAAACAATTCTCATCCATCCAGTCTGTTCTCCCACACCTCAGATGAGGAAAGTCAATGGTCAATGCTCTGTAATATCCCAAGTAGGATCCAATCTAAGCAATTCCTATCCACCTGAAGTCTGTTCTCTGGAGGGATTTCCCAGGATGCGACAAGATAGTTCTCCATTCTCTTTAGTCTCAACTTATGCTGTAAACCCAAGGCTTGACACAAACACAGGCAGGAAAGTTTGAGTGAATCTGTCACAACAGCTCTAGTACAGTATTGCATTCATATGCTCTGGAGACCTTCAGCTTATTCTTCCCAGAAAAATAATGTGCAGTGGAGATAAGAAGCCATGGCTTCCCCCCGACCCCCCACCTCCTCTGGTTAGTGCAGGCTCTGGCTCAGATACTGAAGAAACATGTTGGCCAGTTGAGGCAAGTTCTCATTGTTGGGATGCATTTTAGTGTACGAAATAAACTGGCGACGAAGGCGACTCAGTTCTGCCATGGTAAAGGGCCGGGTAAACCGCAAGCGCTCTGTGGTACCAGGAAGCGTGAGCAAGTCCCCGGGGAGAGCGCTCTTCTGCGCTTCCATCAGTCCGGCCAATACTTGACTCGTGACCTGGTCCAGCTGGTGCAGAAAGCTGCCGGAGGCGAGAGGCTGGGACTGCGTAGACTGATGGGGTGGTGGGGCCCGGTTCTCAAACAGGGCAGAGCGGATCTCTGCCAGAGGCAATGGCTCCTCTAAGCCCACCAAAGTGAATAAAGGCCGGTCCCAGCGATTCCGAGAATCGGGAGCCTCAAAGCGCAGCGTAAGGGCCTCCAGGAGTTCGGGAGAGTAAAAGGCACTAGACACATGTTTTGCAGATTTCTCTGATTCCGGAGTCACGAGAGCTGGTGACTCTGTAGCCCCGGTTTCTTCTAGCTCCAGTTCCTGAGGTACGTCGGCCTGTGCACTTCCATTTACTGTGGAGCCCGCAGTATGCAGTTCCCTGGGGACACTGCTGCCGGCCGCCAGGGGTCTCCCGTCCTTCTCAGCGCGTGGTCGCCAACTCACACTGACGTTCAGGCCCGGGTTGTCGTTCGCGCCCGCCACCTCAGGTACAGCATTCGGGCCGCCGGGACGTACGCAGTAGACCAAGCACAGTGGGGTGCGCGCTGCCCGCGACAGGCAGTAGAGCTCGTAGCGGAAGCCTTTGATGTAGTTAAGCGAGTCCAGGATGACCACGTCGTGACGACTCAGGTGCCGCTCCACGGAGGCTCGCAGAGCTCCACGCAGTGCCTTCTCACGGGCAGAATCGCCGTACACGGTTGGGTCCTCTGCGCCCAGCACAGCCGCGTCGTCTACCACGTACACCCCGCGGCCCTCGGCAGCCAGGGCCACGCGCAACTCTTCAACACGCCGGCTCTTGCCGCTGTACGGCAGCCCGCAAAACACCACAAGCGGCATCCTCTCAGGGAGCGACCGTATACCACCGCGCGGCGCCAACTTCCGGGTTGTCCGCGTCCCGACGTACGCCGGAAGTGCAAACTGCTCTTCCTGTCCCTTGACTCTTACAGACCTTGTTTCTATGGAAACAGTTCTATGCCAACTAGGAGAAAGCTCTCAGAAAGAAGATGCAGAGACTAGAATGGCATCAGTTATTTATGCCAAGTGTTATAGGCCTCAGGAGAATGTGATCTCCCTGCTGCCAAAGCCTGCCTATCCATTTATTAATAAGGCCTCAGGAGAATTAAATATTATAAGCAGCACTATATTTAGCTTATAGAAGGCAATTCATAAATGCTGGTTCTCCTTCATTCCTCCTCTTACACCTACTGGCTCTCAGTAAATGTTTACTAAATTGCCATTTCAATCATTCAACATCTTCATGGTTGGTAATTCAAAGATGAACATAAAACTGTTTCCCCACAAAAGATAAAAGGGTCTGCAGGAGGCGGAGGTTGCAGTGAGCGGAGATCAAGCCACTGCACTCCAGCCTGGCGCCTGGCGACAGAACAAGACTCTGTCTCAAAAAAAAAAAAAAAAAAGATAAAGGGTCTGAAGGCTCAGGCACCTACAATCAGAGTAATAAATACTATAATGGATAGATGCAGGTGAGGTTATAAAAGAACAGAAGGGAAAAACAAACTACTCAGAGAAATCATTGAAGACTTAATGTAAGAATATTCATTTGACTTAGAACTTGAAAGACAAATGGGAATTTTTCTCCTTAGTAGGGTTGCCAGATAAAATACAGAATGCCTGGTTAAATTTAAATTTCAGATAAACACCAACATTTTTAAGCTTAAGTGTATCTCAAATAATGCATGGATATATTTTAAATTATTTATCTAAATTTCAAATTCAACTGGGCATCTTTAATTTTTTATTATTATTTACTTACTTTTTTAGAGATGAAGTGTCAGTACGTTGCTCAGGCTGGTCTCAAACTCTTGGGCTCAAGTAACTGTACCACCTCTGCCTCCCAAAGTGCTGAGATTAAAGGTATGTGAGCCAAGATGCCTGGCCTGCATCCTTTATTATTATTATTTTTGAGACAGAGTCTTACTCTGTTGCCCAACCTGGAGTGCAGTGGCATGATCTCAACTCACTGCAACCTCTGCCTCCAGGTTCAAGCGATTCTCCTGTTTCAGCCAACTAAGTAGCTGGGACTACAAGTGTCTGCCATCACACCCAGCTAATTTTTATACTTTTAGTTGAGAAGGGGTTTTGCCATGTTGGCCAGGCTGGTCTTGAACTCCTGACCTCAGGTGATCCACCAGCCTCGGCCTCCCAAAGTGCTGGGATTAAAGGCATGAGCCACAGTGCCTGGCCATCCTTTATTTTTATTTGCTCAATCTGGCAACTCTCTAGCAGAAGGTTTGAGACCCAAGGCTATGGAACTGTTGGATCTCTTCTATAAACATCAAGCACTATAGAATGGTAGGTGAAGAAATGTGAGTGTGCCTGTGTATGTGTGTATACTGTAGGTGCACATATACTGAGGTCTTTGCATCTCTCTGGTACTGTATAGTAAAAAAGATTCAAGTCTTAGCTGTGCCATTTACTAGCATTGTAATTATTGGCAAATTATATAACTTTTCTGTACTTCAATTTCCCCTTCTATAAAATAACAACAGTTATTTCACAGGTGTACCAACTTAGTAGGTTGTTGTGAGGGTTAAATAAATGTAAACACATCTCTTTACTTCACATGAGCACAATGGCTCTTGCCTGTAATCCCAGCGCTTTGGGAGACCAAGGAGGGTGGATCACCCGAGGTCAGGAGTTCGAGACCACTCTGGCCAACATGGTGAAACCCTGCTCTCTACTAAAAATATATTTTTAAAAATTAGCCAAATGTGGTGGCATGTGCCTGTAATCCCAGCTACTCAAGAGGTTGAGGCAGGAGAATTGCTTGAACCCGGGAGGTGGAGATTGCAGTGAGTTGAGACCATGCCACCATTGCACTCCAGCCTGGACAACAAGAGCAAAATTCCATCTCAAAAAACAAAAAAAAGTAAACACAGACCAGTGCTTAGCTTTCCCTCTCATGCCCTGCCTTTCCCTCCTCATGCACTGAATTGTCTGTGCATAAACTAAACCTACTTGAGACTTTAGACTATTCAACTTGACTCTAGTAGGCAGTATGGTATACAAGTTTAAACAGCAGGCTCTGAAGCCAGAGTGTTTACGTCTGCCACTTGCTAGCTGTGTGATCCTGGGCAAGTTATTTTGGTAAACTTAGAAAAACTGTGCCTTACTGTTTTCTTCTCTAAAATTAAGATAACAATAGCACCTACCTCAAAAAGTTGTGAGAATTAAATGAGTTGATTTGCATAATTTAATGCCTAATGCACAGTAGCACTTAGTACAGCTGACCCTTGAACAACAAGGATGAGGGGCACTGACCCCCGCAAGCAGTCAAAAATCTGCATATAACTTTTGACTCCCTAAAACTTAACTACTAATAGCCTACTGTTGACTGGAAGCCTTACTAATAATATATTCAGTTAACACATATTTTGAATGTCATATGTATTATATATTATATTCTTACAATAAAGTAAACTAAAGAAAAGAAATGTTATTAAGAAAATGTTTCCAGGAAGCAGGGGGGAAAAAAAGAAGAAAAGAAAAAGAAAATCATAAAGAAGCAAAAATATATTTAGTACTCATTAAATGGAAGTGGATAATCATAAAGGTCTTCATCCTTGTGTTCACACTGAGTAGACTGAGGAGGAGGAAGAAGAGGAGGGTTGGTCTTGCTGTCTCAAGATGACAGAGGCAGAGGAGGGTGGAAAGGGAGGCCGAACAGGCAGGCACACTTGTTGTAACTTTATGGAACTACATTATAATTTCCGAGTTTTTTGCTTTTTCATTTCTCTCTCTTTTTTATTTTTATTTTTTAGAGGGGGACGGGGAGTGGGAGGGAGACTCATTTCTCTAAAAATATTTCCATCCCATACCAATCCTTTTTCTTTGCTTTAGTTTCAGGGTACATATCATAGAAGAGTCCATGTTGTAAAATAAGTCAAAAGCAGTCCTAAATAATTAGAACCTTCTGCCAGATCTGTTTCCTGGCACTGCTTCTTCTACATGTTTTTCCTTATCATCTGGCACTCATCCCCAGCAAGTTATCTGCTGTTCATTCCTCTGGTGTGGTGTCTATTAGCTCTTGAATTTATCCAAGATCATATCTTAAAACCCTTAACCCCTCACCTTTTTTTTTTTTTTTTTTTTGCCATATCCACAATCTCTTTCATAATTTTAATTGTCTGTCATAAACCCTGAGAAGTCCTGTAAACACCTGGACACAGTTTTATCCCCCTGGAATTTATTGTTTCAGGCTTGATGGCCTTCACAGCTATTTCTACAACAATGGTGGCATCTTCAATGGTATAATCCTGCTAAACTTTCATGATGTTCTCTCTACTGGGGTTTTCATCCATGTCTTTGACAATCTTTTTTCCATAGAGTACTGTGTGTAATGAGACTTAAAGGTCCTTATCACTCCCTGACATAGTAGCTGATTTAAATATTGTGTTTGGAGGCAAATAGACTACTTTTATGCCTTTGGCGTTGAACTCATGGAGCTTTGGGTGGCCACACTATTGTCCAATATCAAAAGAACTTTAAAAGGCAGTCTCTTACTGGCAAGTCTACTTACTGACTTCAGGAACAAAGCATTAATGGAACCAATCCAGAAAAAGTTCTTGTTGTCTAAGCCTTCTTAGTGCACAACCTAAACACTGGCAGCTGGTGTTTATCTTTGCTATCTTTGCTCTTCAAGGCTGGGGTTAGCAGCTTTATAGACAAGGGCAATTCTGATGACAAACCTGACTCAAACTCCTGGGCTCTGGTAATCGTCCAACCTCTGCCTCCCAAAGTGCTGGGGTTTTTTTTGTTTGTTTGTTTGTTTTTGCATAAAACAGTAGAGTTAGCCTATCTCTTCTTGCCTTCAATCTTGGTATTTGCTTCTTTTCCTTACTATTTTTGTTTTCTTTTCAAAAATTGAAATAGGCTCTTGTTCTGTTACCCAGGCTACAGTTCAGTGGTGTGCAATCAGGGCTCACTGCAGCCTCAATCTTCCAGGCTCAAGCAATCCTCCTATCTCAGACTCCTGTGTAGCTGGAACAACAGGCCCACGCCACCACACCCAGCTAATTTTTGTATTTTTTGAAGAGGTTGGTCTTTCTTACTATTAATGTCCTTTTTGCCATATTTTTTCCACAACAGGGTACCTTAATCTACATTAAACACTTGTTCAAGCAGACATCCTTTCTCTTCAATGATTTTAACAGTGTCCAAGAATTCATTTGCTGCTTCTTGGTCAACACAAGCTGCTTCTCCTGTATCTTGAATTTTTTTTAGCGTCTCACTCTGTCACCCACACTGGAGTATAGTGGCACGATCTCGGCTCACCGAAACCTCTGCCTTCCAGGCCCAAGTGATTCTCCTGCCTCAGCCCCCTCAGTAGATGAGATTACAAGCTCAGACCACTACTGCCTGGCTAATTTTTGTAGAGATGGAGTTTCACCATGTTGGCCAGGATGGTCGTGAACTTTTGACCTCAAATGATCCACCTGCCTTGGACTCCCAAAGTGCTAGTATTATGGGTGTGAGTCACTGTGCCCAGCCTATCTTGACAATTTTTAAGCCAAGCCTCTTTCTAAAATCAGCAAACCATCATTTTAAATACTCCAGCTTTAGATACTTCACCTTTTTGCTTTAAGTTGCCATATAATGACTTTTCTCAAATCATATTAGAGTCAATAGATATTCTTTTCTTATAGTACCCACATAAAAGCTACATATTATACACATAAAAGGCATTTGGCAAAAACTGCAAAATTTTTGTGCCTGTTGGCATAGCTACGGTGACAATTTCATGAATTTCCTTTTTTTTTTTTAACACAATTCTTCCTAACGCTGGATTTATCTTTTTAAAAAATTTTTTTGTATAGACAGGGTCTTACTCTGTTGCCCAGGCTGGTCTCGATCTCCTGTGCTCAAGCAATCCTCCTGCCTCAGATTCTCAAAATTGATTCATTTATTTTGAAATGGCAAGCAACTACCTCTGCAGACCTCAGTCTACAGTACATATCAAGCAATTCGATTTTTTCTTGTAAGGTCATGAGTTTTCTGCTTCTTGGAAACACTTCCAGCATTACCTATGGCGCTTTCTATGGGTTTCATGGTGTTATTCTAAGTTTATGATACTGCACTAAATACCATGAAAAATATCCAATAACTTTGGAGATTACTTTTTCTTTTTGATACCAAGTCTCGCTCTGTCATCCAGGCTGGAGTGCAGTGGTGTGATCTTAGCTCACTGCAACCTCTGTCTCCCAGGTTCAAGCGATTCTCCTGCCTCAGCCTCCCAAGTAACTGGGATTACAGGCATGTGCCCACCACACCCAGCTAATTTTTTTGTATTTTTAGTAGAGTCAGGGTTTCACCATGTTGCCCAGACTGGTCTCAAACTTCTGGGCTCAAGTGATGTGCCTGTCTCAGCCTACCAAAGTGCTGTGATTACAGGCATGAGCCACTGCACCTGGCCTGTGTACAGAAGTTTTGATAAATTTTAACTTTTTATATTAGATTTCTATATGCTTTATGGTAGTAAATGATAATATAGACTAGTATCTACAAAAATTTTAGGCACTTGTAACATATCTTTTTCTTAAGTCTTTTGAGATTTCTAGGCTATGCCACTCATCTCCAAGTTTTCTCAAATTGCTTGAAATCACCAAAACATTTTCCAATACATTTATTATTGAAAAAAATCCACATATAAGTGGACCTGTGTAGTTCAAACCCATGTTGTTCAGCTAGGCGTGGTGGTTCACACCTGTAATCCTAGCACTTTGGGAGGCTGAGGCAGGCGGCTCACCTGAGGTCAGGAGCTCAAGACCAGGTAAAACCCCGTCTCTACTAAAAACTACAAAATTTAGCCAGGCTTGATGGCACATGCCTGTAATCTCAGTTATTTGGGAGGCTGAGGCACAAGAATATCTTGAACCTGGGAGGTGGAGGTTGCAATGAACCAAGATTACATCACTGCATTCCAGGTGACAGAGCAAGACTCTTATCAAAAAACAAAAACCTATGTTGTTTAAGGCTCAACTATAAATGTTAGCCAATATTATTGCTGTTGTTGTAATTAGGCAACTATTCAGTTCTTGGTCTGCCTTGGTATAGCCTTTCACCTGAAATTAATGATAAGTTGATATCAGAAGCCGGGCACGGTGGCTCATGCCTGTAATCCCAGCACTTTGGGAGGCCAAGGTGGGTGGATCGCCTGAGGTCAGGAGTTCGAGACCAGCCTGACCAATATGGAGAAACCGTCTCTTAAAAAAAAAAAAAAAAAAAAGTTGATATCTGAAAAGTGTTTTACCACCATAAATGACCTAAAACCATGTCTTATACCTGGCAGCTGCTTCTTTCTTCCCATCTTCCAGTGTCCTCCAATGAATATGATCTCCAAAACCTAAAAGGAAAGAACTTTATAAGCATTCACACAATGAACAAAGGGCACAAACCCAAGAGGGAAGTGTGCATGTTCACAAGATACCCATTAAGAAGGTTTTCTTCTGTCAAGAGCTTGGTGTTCAAGTCCCACCTTCTATGTGTATGGGACCATATCTCAAGCCTCAGTTTTCATACCTGCAAAACGGAGATACCACCACCTAATTCACAGTTTCAAAGGAGTTTAAATTTTAAAATGACAATAAGTGCTTTGTAAACTATCACGGAATATGCCAACAATAATATAAGAATGAATGAGAGGCCGGGCACGGTGGCTCAAGCCTATAATCCCAGCACTTTGGGAGGCTCAGGTGGGTGGATCACGAGGTCAAGAGATCGAGACCATCCTGGTCAACATGGTGAAACCCCATCTCGACTAAAAATACAAAAAATTAGTTGGGCATGGTGGCTTGTGCCTGTAATCCAAGCTACTCAGGAGGCTGAGGCAGGAGAAGTGCCTGAACCCAGTAGGCGGAGGTTGCGGTGAGCCGAGATCGCGCCATTGCACTCCAGCCTGGGTAACAAAAGCGAAACTCCATCTCAAAAAAAAAAAAAGAATGAATGAGAATTTCCCACAGAGTAAACATAAAGCAGATCATAACAAATCCTAACTGATTTAAGGTGATTCAGGAATACAGCTTTAGATTCAGAAAGACCTGGGTCCACGACTCCACTTCCTATCAAGTGTGTGAATTTTTGTGAGTGAAGTAAGCTCTCCGAGTCCCAATTTGTTTTTCCCCTTCATCTGTAAAAACAAGATAATAAGACCAACCTCCAAGTGTTAGTATAAGGAGTAAATGAAGTATTTAAAGCTATTGTTACTATTATTCCCAAAATTCAGCCAGAGTAATCTTTGTATTTTATTTATTTTAAGAGGGAATCTCCCTCTGTCACCCAGGCTGGAGTGCAGTGGCACAACCTCGGCTCACTGCAACCTCTGCCTCTCAGATTCAAGTGATTCTCTTGCCTCAGCCTCCTGAGTAGCTGGGATTACAGGCACCTGCCACTAGGCCCAGCTACTCTTTGTATTTTTAGTAGAGACAGGGTTTCACTATGTTGTTCAGGCTGGTCTTGAACTCCTGACCTCAAGTGATCCGCCCACCTTGGCTTCCCAAAGTGCTGGGATTACAGGTGTGAGCCACCACACCTGGCCTCTATTTTATTTTTTTAAACTCCTGAGCATATTTTGTAGAATAGCACAGAATGGTCTTTCTAAATCATGTCACTCCTGGAAAAAAAAAAAACTTTCAAAGGTTTTCCAATGCCCTTCTATATAGGTCCAACTCTTGCAGCAGGGTTTACAAAGCCTTTCAGAATATGGCACCTGCCCACCTCTCCGGCTTCACTTTCCACACTTTTCCTAAAATCTTATACACATACCCTATACTTTGACTTTTTTTTTTTTTTTTTTTTTTGAGATAGAATCTCACTGTCACCCAGGCTGGAGTGCAGTGGTGTGATCTCAGCTCACTGCAATCTCCACCTCCCAGGTTCAAGTGATTCTCCTGTCTCAGTCTCCCAAGTAGTTGGGATTACAGATGCCTGCCACTATGCCTGGCTAATTTTTTTTTTTTTTTTACTTGTTTGAAGGTGACTGGCAGCAATGACTAAATTAGTCATACTGCTAATTAACCTCCAAACATTTATTTAGCACATCAGAAATATCAATTTTTTTTTTTTGAAATGGAGTTTCACTCTTGTTGCCAGGGCTGGAGTGCAATGAGGCAATCTCGGCTCACACAACCTCCACCTCCCGGGTTAAAGAGATTCTCCTGCCTCATCCTCCTGAGTAGCTGGGATTACAGGCATGCACCACCACACCCAGCTAATTCTGTATTTTTAGTAAAGACAGGGTTTTTCCATATTGGTAAGTCTGGTCTCAAACTCCTGATCTCAGGTGATCCACCTGCCTCGGCCTCCCAAACTGCTGGGATTACAGGCGTAAACCACCATGCCGAGCCTGTAATTTTTGTATTTTTAGTAGAGACAGGGTTTCAGATGTTGTTGGCCAGGCTGGTCTTGAGCTCCTGAGCTCAGGTGATCCACCAGTCTCCTCAGCCTCCCAAAGTGCTGCAATTACAGAACATGAGCCAGCACATCCAGCCCTTTCACTTCTTTAAATGAGAGTAGTGCACTCTCCCCTCTAGGCTTTCATAATCACTGCCACTTGTGCAATTCCTCTTTCCCTCACCTCCAAGGCTTCAGATATAAGCCTACACGGCATTTCTTCTGGTATATCTTCCCTGACTCCAAAAGCACCCTGTTCTTGCTCCATCACAGCACTCCCCAGGCTTACCTGTAAATGTTTATGCGTCCATCTCTGGACCATATCTGTCTTATTCCTTTCTCTTTCCTTACCATTTAGCAGTACACATGGTCACAGTAAGTGCTCCATAAAATATTTGTTGAGCAAGTTAATCTTATTTAGATCATATCACATAAGAGAATTTTATATTCAAAAATTATTAGTGACAATAATGCTAGCTGCTATTTACTGACCACTTTATGTGCCTGGCATACCACATGTGTTGTTGCATTTAAATTTGGCCTTATTAATAACCCAGTTTTACTTAATCTCTCTATGCTTCTGTTTTCTCATCTTTACAAGAGGCATAATAGGCCAGGCACAGTGGCTCATGCCTGTAATCCTAGCACTTTGGGAAGGCAAGGTGTGTGGATCACCTAAGGTCAGGAGTTCAAGACCAGCCTGGCCAACATAGCAAAACCCCATCTCTATTAAAATACAAAAGTTAGCCAGGCATGGTGGTGCACACTTACAATCCCAGCTACTCTGGAGGCTGAGGAAGAATTGCTTGAACCCAGGAGGTGAAGGTTGCAGTGAGCTGAGATGGCACCAAAGCACTCTAGCCTTCATGATAGGAGCGAGATTCCATCTCAAAAAGAAAAAAAAGAAAGAGGCGAGAGAACGATCCAAGATGGCCGATCGCTAACATCCCGGGATTGCAGCTCTCAGGGAAGGCGCGGAGAACTAGAGGACGCCACACTTTCAGACAAAGTCTGGTCGCTCACGGAGCAGAAGATCCCCCAGTGGTGGAAACACACGGGTCGCCAGCGCGACTCTCGTGGTCGGCGCAGCGGTTCCGCCGGCACCTCGGCGCGGCAGCTCTCGGAGCAGAGTAAACGGGACCGCTTCCCCTTCTGACCGAGGTTTGGAGCCCCGGGAAGGCAGAGTCGCCTACTACGGAAACAAGAAGGAAGCCCGACAGGAGAATCCTGGGCAGAAAAGCACCATCAGTTTTAACGCCGCTGCTCTGGCCCTGGGAACTAACAACCTGGACGTCCACTCAAGAGACCTAATCTGAAAGTTGGTAATTTCAAAGACGAGAGGAGGATAAATTTACAATGACGGGAAGAAACCAGCGTAAAAAAGCTGAGAATGCTCAAAGTCAGAACGCCTCTCCCTCTAAAGATGATCACAGTTCCACATCAACAATGGAACAAGGCTTGATGGAGAACGAGCGCATCCTGATGACAGAATCACTCTTCAAGGAATGGATAATAACAAACTTCGGTGAGTTAAAAGAACATGTTGTAGCCCAACGTAAAGAAACTAGGAACTTTGACAAAAGGCTTGATGAAATCCTATTGAGAATAGACAACTTAGAGCGGAGTATGAGTGAATTAATGGAACTGAAGAATACAATACAGGAACTCCGAGAAGTATGCACAGGTTTAAACACTCGAATTGTTCAAGCAGAAGAAGGGATATCAGAGGTCAAAGTCCAACTTAATGAAATAAAACGTGAAGAAAAGATTAGAGAAAAAAGGATAAAAAGGAATGAGCAAAGTCTCCAAGAAATGTGGGACTATGTGAAAAGACCAAATTTACGTTTGATAGGTGTACCTGAATGCGACGGAGAGAATGAATCCAAGCTGGAAAATACCCTTCAGGATATTATTCAGGAAAATTTTCCTAAACTAGCAAAGCAGGTCAACATTCAACCCCAGGTAATACAGAGAACACCACAAAGATATTCCTCAAGAAGAGCAACCCCAAGGCACATAATCGTTAGATTCACCAGGGTTGAAACGAAGGAGAGGATACTAAGGGCAGCCAGAGAGAAAGGTCGGATAACCCACAAAGGCAAGCCTATCAGACTTACAGCAGATCTCTCGGCAGAAACTCTACAGGCCAGAAGAGAGTGGGGGCCAATATTCAACATCCTCAAAGAACAGAACCTTCAGCCCAGAATTTCATATCCAGCCAAACTAAGCTTCACAACTGAAGGAAAAATAAAATCTTTTATGAACAAGCAAGAACTCAGAGATTTTATTACCACCAGGCCTGCTTTACAAGAGCTTCTGAAAGAAGCATTACACACAGAAAGAAACAACCAGTATTAGCCTTTCTAAAAATACACCAAAAAGTAAAGAGCACCAACATAAAGAAGAATTTACACCAACACATGGATAAAACAGCCAGTCAACATCAAATGGCAGTAACCCTAAATTTAAATTGACTGAATTCCCAATCAAAAGACACAGCCAAAACCCAACGGCATGTTACATCCAAACCTGTTTTACGTGCAAGGATACACAAAGACTCAAAACAAAGGGATGGAGAAAGATTTACCAACCAAATGGAGAGCAAAAATAAATAATAAATAAATAAAAAGCAGGAGTTGCAATTCTTGTATCGGATAAAATAGATTTTAAAGCAACAAAGACATAGTGGTAAAAGGATCAATGCAACAACAAGAGCTAACGATCCTAACACCCAGATAGGAGACATAGATTCAATGAGACAGAAAATTAATAAGGATATCAAGGACTCGAACTCAGATCCAGAACAAGTAAACTTAATAAATATTTATAGAGCTCTCCACTTCAAATACACAAAATATACATTCTTGTCAATACCACATCACACCTACCCATTAGTTTAAATGAAACATTGATTGGCCATTATTAATACCCAATTTTTTTCAAAATAAAGCAATA